GCATAGCCTACATTAGAGACCCCATTTTTAAATGGCAGATGGTTTAAAGCTAAGCAAATAGTTTGGTGCCTCGGATGCCTGCTTTTGTAAGATGATGCTCAGTCCCAAGTCTTGAAGGTTATTCATCGGAATGGAATGCCCCAAGGCTCCTCTTTGCTTTGTGACACATCCTGTCCGGGAAGAACCACGCTCACGGGGACATCTCTTCCCCAGGACGGCCTTGGGTGGATGGCTGTTGGCTGGGTCCCCAGGTACTCTCAGGGCAAGGACTGCTGTGTTCAAAAGCCACCTGCCATCTGTCGGTAACGATGTTTTGGATCCTCCGTGGTGAGTCACTTATTTCTCCTGCTGTTCCTTCTGCTGCCAGGACTAATTTACCTGCTGGACTCCCATCAGGAATAGATACTGCAGAGGCTTGGCAGGGGGCTTAGTCCCTGGCAGAGTATGCTTCCCCAGTGAGCCCTCTTCCTACTGCCATCTTTGGAAGGGTGCGAGTGGGGTGGAGGTGGGGGCAGAGGGTGCTGGAGGGAGTAGTCTCCTTTGTTTTCCCAAAGGATGGAGAGAAGTTGCTGGAAAGACACAGTTCACCTACTCTCTGGAGCCCTTCCCAGGGAGAGTTATAGCCACTGGCATCGATGGCCTTGACAATGAAAGTCCTGCTTTGTGTCCCCATTTTCTGAGCAACGCTCTCTATGGCCAACAGCTTGTGATGCCAACGCCTGTCACCGAGGGTGGCAGAGAGTAAGCCCTCAAAGGTTGGTTCGGCCGATGACTGAGGCCTGTGCCCACAGGATGGCGTGAGGCTGACCTACCCAGGGTCACCATGGGGAGTACGCTGGGGCCAGCACAGCCCACTGGGCCAGGGTGCCTGCCTGGCAAGGTGACCTCCAAAGTCGCCCAGGCCTCTGACATTCTGCTGGAGTCTGTGCTGTCGGAGCCCAAGATCAGAGTCTCTGGAATGGTTTTGGAGGAGGAATTCCTAGACTCTGTACAGGTGAGCGTGGTACTGTGACTGTAGCTCAGGAACAAGCAGGAGTTACGGGGCCTCTGTGGTTGGCTTCTCAAGTGCCTGGGCAGGAGGACTTGGCTCTAACAGGGAGAACATTGAAGGTCAAATTTATAGCCCCCTCTGCCCATGGGGTGGCAGCCCGAGTCTTAGGCTAACGCGCAAGATGCATTTCGCAACTGACATAATTTCACACAAACGACATTTTATTGTTAGGATTATCATATTTTGTCTAAAAAAAAACCAAAAACCCAAACCCCACAATCATTAAGATGGTTCAACGCTAGCTTTATTCACATCTCAGATCCCATGGTGATGCTCCTCCCCTCCCATGTTGTCTTTTCCCACCACACTGGCCACTGTTAAGCCAGATGGTGGCAGTCACCAACCCTGGGACATGGAGGCCTCTCCACGCCTTCAAGCCTGCTCTATCTCGCTGATTTTCTTGGAAGCTCTCCTGCCTGGCAGAAATATCATGTCTTAGGTGGGTGGGATTTTATTCTTACCAGAGTGGGAGTCATCTTATAGATCCTCCCCCAGCCTCTAAGATCAAAGGCAGAGCTACGTGGTTAATTCCTAGGTGAGAGGCAAAATGCCTATCTTGAGAGTCCCCAGCTCAAGGCACCCACCTGCCACCAGCCCGCTATCAGGGGCAGCCTGGAAGGGGTGGCCAGTGATGTGGGCCTGCCCGAGGTACCACAAGGCCCAGGTGACCTTACCAATCCAGAGAGTGGCTGGCCAAGTCAGGTCAGTCCTGAGAAATCCTGCAAAGCTTCCAGGTAGAACCTGTTCTATGGTGATAGGAGTGCTGTGGGACCCAGGTCACAGACCCACCCTTCTTCAGAGGCTCCCCTGCCGGGACTCTCCACTGCTAGGAAGTCTCAATTTGCTAGAAGTAGCAAACGCCTATCACACTCCTTCTCTGTGTCCTCAGTGCACGTGTGCATGTGCTGCAGAGGAAGCCACAGGGGCACGAGTCTAGAACCCCTGATGCCTGCCTTCTCTGGGTGTCCGGGAGGTGGTGGGCACATGCTGGTACGTGGGGCATGGCGATGGCTGTATTCTGGTGGACAGCTGCGCGGCAGGGCTGCAGAGTGGTCCCTACTCTGTGCAGTGGCCTTCGGAGATGCTGCCGATGAGCGGTGGCAATCTTGCTGACTTCGCACTACGAGGGCGTTTTGGCAAATTGTTCACATTCACCACTTCCGAGTTGGCAAAAAGCAAGACTTCCTGGTATTCAAAGAAGCTACAGGATGTAGTGGTCACTTCAAACCTGGTAGCCAGACGCCTGAGCACATGGGCTTTCAGCAAAGCCACCCAAGGGCGCTCAGAGCACAGGGGTGCCACCAGGGCTGCTTTGAAGGAGCCCCCTTGTCTGAAGTGGGTGAGACACTGGGCCCGGGGGGTGGGGCGGTGAAGGACCTGAACCACACCACAGACAGGCCAAGGGGACCTTCCACGAGCTGTGGAAGGCTGTAGGCATGTGCGTTTTTAAAAGAAAGTTTCTGTTCCTGACCAAAGCAGAGGAAATCAGCTGCCCCTGGGTTTCCTCGTCTGGGGAGAATGTGGCGCATGGACGGTGGTGAAGGCAGCCAGCCTCTATGAAAAAGTACCTGCTGGCTTGCCCATGCACCTGGAGCACTCTACCTAGAGACGGGAGAGCTGCTGATGTGTTGGGGGGCCCTGCTCCGCTCCCCGATGTCACCCGACACCAACAGCATCCTGGGGAGCCTGGAGGACCTGAGCCCACCACCAAGGGAGAGCTGCTTCCAGAGACCGAGGGGCAACTGCCTGCTTCTGGAAGATACTCACGGGATGCAACTGCCGGTCAGACAGTCCCAGACGCCTGGCTAGTCTTCTCCGGGGCTTTCAATCCCGTGGCCGATACAGACAACAGGCAAACCATCGGCTTCGAGAGGGAACATTCATCATCAAAGGCAAGTAGAGGCCCCAGAAAGGGCCATTCATTTAGAGAGGAAAGAAACGGACCCAGTGGCAGCTGGTTCAGGATTGGCCCACGTAGCCTGGCAGCCCCACAGGGGCCGAGAGGTTCTGGCCACCAGGAAGCAGGTCTGCTACCCCACTCGGGGTGTGTAAAGATCCCCCCACTCCACAGAAGATGCTGTGAAGACAAGCGTGCCCGGCATGGGAGCTGCACCTGGTCCACATGGCATGTGTGAGGCCGCGGGGCTGAGCACACTCCTGGCTTAGACGCCCAGCATCCCGTCTGGCTGGCTGCCGATTCAGGGCCAGTCAGCCCCGTCTTCCTGGGAGATGCTCAGCACGGACTTATGGGGGATCTGGCACTCCTGCAGAGATCTGGTGAGGTCCGAGAACCTCCTCCGGGGTACCTCCATCGTTTCGATGCTGCAGCAAGGGTAGGTGGTCTTGTTCTTCTGCTCGGCCACAGCGACCACCGTGTGCAAGGCATCCGTTGGCCGGAAGTGGCGGACAAACCTCTGGCCGGACGGGGACCTGACAGCAAGCAGCAGCCTGGGCTCTTGGTCCGAAGGTTCCTCTAAGTTTCCAGCCCTGAAGGAGCCCTGCTGCTTGGCTCGGATGGTGACTTTCTCCTCCGAGGGCCAAGCCCCAGCTCTGGCATCTTCTTTCCTTGGCTTCAGCTGCAGAGAGCTGGCCCTGTGAATCTCCCCAACCTGTTCCTCCAGACTCTTCCGGTTAATGGAAGGGAGGACTGGGTATTTATTGAGCGAGGAGGCGGAGGAGGCCCCAAAGGGCACCTGTTGCTGCAGCAGCTCGGGGATCTCGTTGGGAGCACCATGGGCTGGAGATCTGGGGGTGCAGGCCCCGGGCTTCCGGCTAGTCAGTGGCTCACAGGGAGCCGGCTGGGGTGGAGCAGAAGGTGTGTGGCTGGAGCTCGCTGCCGCGCCTTGGGCTGCGTGGAGGCTGGGCCGTGTTCGGCCCTTGGCGGACTTGGGCCTTATGACATGCATGGTCACTGGTCTGTGCTGCCAGAGGAAGGTGTCAGCTGCCGGGCCGGCAGCACTGTTGTGGTCAAGCGGTGAGATGTTCACAGGGGCTTCTGTGGCCATTGCGTCTCAAGACCCCTGAGGGAGCAGGAAGAAACAGAGGCCAGGCGTTAAACTTCCTGGGGCTTCTCTAGGTTTGTCAACCACTCCCCGAGTGGCCAGCAGAAGGTGCCAATGAGTGCCTTTGCCAACCACCCAAGTAGGAGCTGGGGCCCAGCTTCCCTGCAGCGCTAAGAGGAGATGGCAGGAGAGCGGAGAAGCCCCTGTGCACTGAGGAAGAACCCCTTCTCAGCTCCACTTTCACTTTCTTCCACAACCTCTGCTGAGGACTGCTCCCCCTGTGGCCTGGCTCCCCCTTCCTTCGCTTCCTTCACCCTGGCTCTGCACAGGTTGCTTAGTACTAACCCTAGGTATTTGAATGCTTGGGCATCACCAGGTGGCACAAATGGCTAGCATGTTTGGCTGCTCACCAAAAGGTTGGAGGTTCAAGTCTACCCAAAAGACCTCACAAGAAAGTCCAGGTGGTGAAAACTCGGCTGCTAAAAACCTATGGCCCATCTGGGGTAGCCACAAGTTGGAACTGACCTAGGGCCACGGTTCTGGTAGTAGCTGTTGGGAACAAGGAGTACCAGTTAGACCCACCCCCACTGGTCTGTCGGTCTGTCGCCCTGGGGTGGCTGTGTGTTGCTGTGAGGCTGGGAGCGATGTCACTGGTATTTAAAATGCCAGCAGGGTCGCCGAAAGCAAGCATGCTTCAGCAGAGCTTCCAGACTAAAAAGCAGCTTGTTCTTAGTCTGGACGCTCGAGGAAGACCAGAGAAGAGTTGATGTGCGGTGCTGGTGAGGAATACCGAAGGACAGACAAATCTGTCTTGGAAGAAGTACGGCCAGAGTGCTCCTCAGAGGCGAGGATGGCGGACTTCACCTCACACACTTTGGACGTGTTGTCAGGAGAGAGCAGTCCCTGGACAAGGACATCATGCTTGGTAAAGTAGAGGGGCAGCGAAGAAAGAGGAAGGCCCTGGAGGACACGGGCGGACCCAATGACTGCCACAGGGGGCTCAAGTACGGGAACCATTGTGTGGACGGTGTTGGACGGACAGCGCTTCTTTCCAGGGGTGCACAGGGCAGCTCTGGGTCGGCACCGGCTCAATGGCACTTAACAACAACAACACGAAAAAAGGAAGAGGCTACTCAGGTCCGGGGAATTAGCCCCTGAAAACATGGGCAGATATGGCAGGGCTGACGACTAGAAGCAGCATACTGTCAGAGAGGGTGCTGGGAGATGGCACCCTCTCCTCAGGTGGGAGTTAGCCCCTGAAAACATGGGCAGATACAGCAGGGCTGACGACTAGAAGCAGCAGACTGTCAGAGAGGGTGCCGGGAGATGGCACCCTCTCCTCAGGTGGGAGGGAGGGCAGCCTTCTCCGAGCAGAGTGGACCGTGACAGGAAGGGAGCGAAGCCCGCACGAGTCAAACCCTGCGGGACCTTCATTGCGGGTCTGGCACAACTCAAAGGTGAAGAAACAGTGGCAAACGTCCACTAGTAATCAGAATTTGGAATATATGAAGTAGGAATCTAGGAAAATCGGACTTCATCAAAACGAAATGGGACACATAAAGCTTGATATCCTGGGCATTAGTGAGTTGAAAGGGACTGGGGTTGGCAAATTTGAATCAGAAAATCATATGGTTTACTATGCGGGGGAATGACACCATCAAGAAGCACGGCGCTGGATTCATAGGCAAAAAGGACATCTCAAGATCTATTTTGAGCACAACGTTGCCTGTGTTACGATTATATCTACATGACTTCAAGGACATCCACTCAATACAACTATTATTCAAACGTATGTACCAACCACTAATACTAGTGATGAAGAATTCTACCAATGTCTTCAGTTGGAAAATGATCACACATGCAAGCAGTATGCATTGATAATTATTGGCGATTGGAATGCAAAAAACTTAAAAAAACAGAAAAGAAGGCACCGTTGTTGGAAAATATGCCTTTGGTGATAAAAATGAAGCTGGAGGTTGCATGATAGAATTCTGCAAGAACAATGACTTGTTCCTAGCAAATATCATTCTTCGACAATACAGCTTTCAGCTATACACATAGATTTCTCCAGCTAGAACGCACAGAAATCAAATGGACTACATCAGTGGGAAAGATGACAGAGAAGCTCAGTATCAGCAGCTAAAACCAGGTCAGGGGGCGACTGTGGAACAGACCACCAATTGCGCATATGTAAGTTCAGGATGAAGCTGCAGAAAATTAAAACAAGTCTACAGGAGCGAAAATATGACCTGAACTTTTAGAACATCTTGAAAACAGATTTGCTGTGCTGAACGCTAATGACAGAAGGCTCGAGGAGACGTGGGATGACATCAAGAACATCCTTCATAAAGAAAGCAGGTCATTGAAAGACTAGAAAGAAAAGATCGACATGGATGTCCGAAGAGACTCTGAAATTTGCTCTTTTTTTGTTTGTTTGAAGTTGTTTAGTTTACAATAATGCAGTTGGACATATTACATGATAGCATTGCTCACCTCAGCCCAGCTTGGTGGTCCACATGGAGAGAGGGAGAAGGGAAGGAGGGAAAGGGAACAAGGGAGAGGGGGAAGAGAGTCAGGGAGGTCAGAATCCGAGTGAGAAGTCCGACCGAAATTTGCTCTTAATTGTAGAGTAGCTAAGGCCAATGGAAGAAATCATGACGTCAGAGAAGTTCAAAGGGCGGCTCAAGACAAAGTCAAATACTATAATGAAAAAGTGCAAAAACCTAGTTAGAATACCAAAAATGAAGAATGTCCTCAGCATATGTTAACCTGAGAGACCTCAAGAAAACATTCAAGCTTCAGTTGCAAGATTGAAAAGTCCTATGGACAAAATAGGATGAAGCTGGAAGCATCAAAGGAAGATGGCATACACGGAATACGTAGTCACGGTCCCAAGAAGAACTGGCCGACAGTCCATTTCAGGAGGCAGCATATGAGCAAGAGCCATGGTACTAAAGGAAGAAGTTCAAGCTGCACTGAAAGCATTATCCAAAGACATGGCTCAAGGAATCGGTGGAATACCAATTGAACTGTTTCAAGAAGCTGATGAAGCACTGGAAGCACTACTCGTCTATGCCAGAAAATTGGCAGACAACCACTTGGCCAACTGACTGGAAGAGATCCGTGTGTGTACCCATTTCAAAAAACAGTGACCCAACAGAATGCTCAAATTATAGAATATCATTAAAACCACATGCGAGCACAATGTTGCTGAAAACCAACAACTGTTTCAGGAGTCCATTGCCAGGGAGCTGCCAGAGGTTCCGGCTGGATTCAGAAGAGGACATGGAACAAGGGATGTCTTTGCTGACGTCAGATGGATCTTGGCTGAAAGGAGAGAATACCAGAGCCATGTTTGCTTGTGCTTTATTGACTACACAAAGACATTCGACTGTGTGGATCATAACTAACTATGGATATCCTTGAGAAGAAGGGGAATTCCAGGACAGTTTATTGTGTGCATGTGGAACTGGTACACGGATCCAAAGGCAGTTGTGGGAACAGAATAAGGGCGTACTGCACAATTTGAAATCAAGAAAGGTGTTCTGCAGAGCTGCATCACCTCACCACACGTACTCAATCTGCACGCTGTGCCAACAATCAGAAAAGCTGGACTACATGCTGACAAAGGTGGCATCAGGATTGGAGGAAGGCTTATTATCCACCCCCAATATGCAGATGCCCCAGCCCTGCTTACTGAAAGTGTGGGGGACTTGCAGCTTGCAGCATGGCTGAAGCAGCCCAGGAACTGCAGTCTTCAGAATGGATTAAAGCTCTGTGTAAAGAAGACCAAAATCCTCGCCAATGGACCGATGAAAAAACGAACTCACTGCTGACTCATAGTGAGCCTACAGGACAGAGCAGAAATGTCCCTGTGAGGAGCAAGAGGTAACATCATGATAAATGGAGGAAAGATGGAAGTTTTCAAGGATTTTGTCTTGCTTGGCTTCATCGTCAATGTTCATGGAAGCAGCAGTCAAGAGATCAAGCAACACACTGCCTTGGGTAAATCTAAAATGTCAAAAAGCAAGGAGGCTACTTTGAGGACTACAGTGCGCCTGGCCCAAGCCAAGGTATTTTCAATCGGCCCCTATGCAAGTGAACGTTGGACATTGAATAAGGGCCACAAGGGAAGAGTCTGTGCATCTGAATTGCGGTGCTGGAGAAAAATATTGAAAGTACCATGGACTACCAAAAGAGCAAACAATGTGCCTCTGAAGAAGTACAGCTGGCATGCTCCTTAGAGCAAGGATGGGGAGAGTTTGTCTCAAGTATTTGGGACATGTTGTCAGGAGAGACCAGTCCCTAGAGAAGGACGGCATGCTTGGTAGAGCAGCTCATCAGCAAAAAAGCCCTCGACAATATGGATTGACACAGTGCCTGCACAAAGGCCTCAAATATAAGAATAATTGTGGGATGGCACAAGCCCCGGCAGTGTTTTGCTCTGTTGTACATGGGGTCACTATGTATTAACACTGACTTGATGGCACCTAACAACCAGAACAGTTAAACCAAATGGCACCGAAGCGTGTCTCTGTACCAATGCACCTCTTCTTTCACCGCCGTCTTGATGGCCCCTCTGGTAGGCCATCTCTAACACCTCGTTCACTCCACTCCAGTTAAAGCCTTCTGGGACATTGCATGTGGCTTGCTGGCTGCCTGGCTCCTTCTGCATCCTGACCGCCACCCAAGACAGCTGCCTCCTCTGCCCACAGTCTGGCCAGGTCTCTCCCAGACTCCTAAGACCTCTTGAGGGCTTCCAGACCCATGGTTCTCAGGAAGCAGCATGTTTAGGTAGCGAAGGATGCAGGCATGGGTGCCACACAGTCTTGGGTTCTAAATCTGCCTCTGTGACTAGCTAGCTGTACAACTATGGGGCAGGCACTCCATCTTTCGGGTACATATGTTTCCTAAACTAGAGAATTCACTGTGTGACTGTGAAGACATTACTTAGATAGCGCTGCACAGCAGCTTCCTTATCTCTGAGACGAGGACTTACGAAAAACCTAGAGCTAAGGCAGCAAGCCTCACGGCCCAGCGTGGATCGAGGGTTCATTAAAGGTTAGACCTTTGGAAGTGGTTTCTGGCTTTGTTCTTGGTGCTACTACCCTAGGTCCATAGGTGTACCCGATGCGTCTGCCTTTCTCCGAGGGTGCCCTGCATGGTGCCACTCCTAGTCACCTGAACCACCTGGCTGACTCGTGCTACACACTAGCCCAGCCCACTGCACAGAAATGCCGTGAGGTTGAGTCCCATGAGCTGCTACCTAGGAAACTGACTTAAAAATGTGAAATAATGTCCCCAGTGTATTCTCTTTCTGATTCTACACTTTCTCCTTATGAAACCAAACCCGTTGCCACTGTCCGGCCCCATAGGACTGAGGAGGATGGAACCCTCACAGGGCTTCCAAGACTGCCGCCCCTCCACCAGACAGACTGACACCGTGGCTGCGACAATGGGCGCAAGTCTAACTGCGGGTGGTGCGAGGCTGGGCGGTGGCTGGTCCGGCTGTCCACAGGGATGCGAGGAGCTGGCGGCAACTCAGTGAGATGCAGTCACAACCTTGATGAGAAGCAGCCTGCTCCCTCTTTCCCCCGGGGAGAGACGGGTGGGTTTGAACAGCAGACCCTCCTGTTAGCAGCCAGTGGCCACAGGCTTTTCTTCCCCCTGCACTTCCCTCATACGGAGACTCACATACTCCAAGCTAACGTCAGCACACGATTCTGAACAGTGAGCCGCAAGGGTCACCTGGGTGTGCTATCAAAGTGGCCTACTTGGAGGGGACAGCTTTCTCCTTCCCCTTGAAAAACACAACCAAACGAAATGCAAGCGAGAGCCATCTGCGGCTGACGTCCTAGTCAGTGCAGTCGTAAAAGCCACCCTCGCTGACAGGGCCTCTCTGCCGTGCTCTGTAAGCGCTCCACTACTCCTGGAAGGGTGCAGCTCGGAGCCACCAGAGGTGGAGCAGACAAAGGGCCTGGAGACCCAGCTCTGTAAGGTCACAGCCCCTGGAAACTCTGTGGGGGACAGTCCTGCGCCCACCAAGGCGGGGTCATCATGGGCCAGCGTCCCCTCCACGGCCACTGCGCTGGCTTTTGCATTTGTCTCCACTGTACTCACAGACTGGGTCTGTCCACACTCCCATTTTCCATGTCTCCTTAGTCTTTCGCACCCAATCTGGCTGCTGGGAGTTCAGGAGCCTCCTCCTTGGCAAAACCTTGGCGTCAAAAAAGCCTGCCTCTCTTTCTCCCTGTTAATCTATTTTCTGATCAACTGTGAAGCATGTGGGCTCTTTTCCCACCGTCTCATCTTAGTTGGGAGGTAACGTCTTTCTCTTTTAATGAAACGGCTCTGCACTTGAACTCCGGACGACACGCGAAGGTTAGAATTGTCCAACTGTTCTCCCAAAGATAAGCTCAACTGGTAAACCGACTCCCCCTCGCTGCCTACCCTCGCTGCCTGGGTGGAATGGCTATTAATTTGCCACAGCTTCTCCCAATTTATCACAGGCTTGGCTCCCAACTCCCACACATTCCTAAGGAAGGTTTAACTTGTCAGTAAGTTTGGTAACTTAGAAACCTCATCCTTAACAACTTTGATGAGGGAAGTCATGTGTTCCCACCAGCTCTCTGCTGGCTTATTTTTAACAGTAAAACCCAAGTATGGGCAAGCACTTTCTATACCTTTCGGTACAGTATAATTATCCATGTTCAGGAGGCGTCACCGTCAAGATGCCCTGGTCATAAGATAACATGACTGTTGAGTTATCTCAGAGAAAAACCTCAATTATGACTAATTCCCACAAACCCACTCATGGTTATTTAAAGACTAACACCTCCTTCAGGTAAAACCATCCCATCGAACCTGCTTTCATAACCTGCTGCCTGCCCCCAAGTTGCAGGGACCATCTGTCATATGGAGGAAACCCCAGCAACTCTCCCCAGCAGCCATGACATGGGGGCGGAGGGAGAGGGGGCTGTGGGGGAGAGAGGTAAGGGAGACAGGTGTTTGGGGATCTGGGTCAACTGTGCCTGTATGCCCCCCGCCCCAGGGTCCCAAGCTCAGGTGGCCTCCCTCACAGCCATCACAATCCCTGCCCTGCTCATTCACCACCCCAAAACTCAAAACTGCACCCCCAAACTCAAAACCCCACTCCCTGCCTTGGAGTCAGTGCTGGCTCATAGCAACCCTACAGGACAGGGTGAAACTGTCCCTTTGGGTTTCCGGGCCATAACTCATGACAGGAGTAGATAGCCTCATGTTTGCCCTCAGGCAATACCCACTAGGCCACCAGGGCTCCTTCCCCACCCAAGGCCGGTGGTACCTCCACACAAAGGGCTTTGATGAGATCCCGGCGGCACCCTCCATCAGGCAGCTTGCGGAATAGACATGCGGTCCATTTACATAAACACAGTCGCCGCATCCTGGAGGCCTGCTAGGAGTCCGCAAACAAACACTGATAACAGTTTCCAAGAAGTTGCCAACACGGCAGCTGCCCATGCCTCCCGATGATCCCCAGGCAGGTCAGGAGCAATGAGGGGGACTTTTCACGGGAGCAGGGGAAGCCAGATCTCTGACCCCCACCAGGGGGTCCGACCATCCCCTATCTCACTGGCAACCTGAATCTAAAGCGACAGGAAATCCATAAAAGATAATCACCCACCCACAGACCATCTGCTGGTATTTAACCAGAATGCACACTTTGAATTGGTCTTTTTAAAAAATGTTTACCCAAAGTTGCTGAACGCAAAAAAAAAAAAAAAGATGATGATCTTGCTTTGTAAACCCTCACCTAATTCACAATTAAAAAAAATTTTTTTTAATGTTTATCAGTTAGTACTATGGCAGGACAACGCCCCCAACTCCCACCCCATGGACAGAAAAACAAAACCAACGAACAAAAAAACCTTCAGGGCACCAACGGGAGCCGGCAGGTGGCCGGAGCTAAAGCAAACCTCAAATCTCAAGATTATTCCCAGTCCTCCCGGGACTCTTGATCAGAATACACTGTCCGCTGTAGCGTGCCATGTCTTTTAGGAGTGAGCAGGGCCACAAGCCACCAAGTGAAGGAAGGTTAAGCTGGGGCCTGGGAGAGGATTCCGTGGGCTGCCAGGCGTGGCAGAGGGGGACGGGGTGCTGGGGCAGGCGGTCAGCAGAGCAGAGCAGGGCAGGGCTGGGGAAGCCCGCCTAGAAAGTGCGCGCTGGCTTGGGTGAAAGGGCGCAGGTCCCGGGTAGCTTTGTCTCCACGTGACAGGGATGTCCTTTTTTAACTCTGCTGCGTCCCAGTGTCCCTGCCTAGACCCAGCCCGGAGGGGATGGCCCAGCGGCTCCCCAGACCAGACCGATGGGCTTCAGCAGAACTCGCAGTTTTCCTGTTGCGGTCACGGTGTGCGCTTTACACTCCCCCCCCTGTTTTTGAAGCGACCCCTCCCAAGGCCCCTGTCTGATCTGGCGGGGTTCGCCCATCGAGACTGGGTCTGGGGAGGCCTCCCTGGGACACGTGTCCGAGAGCTCAGGACCTGCCTCTTCGGGTGCCCACACCAGGCAGCGGGCCAGCGCCAGGTCCGCGGGATCAGGCACCGCCGCGCTCACCTCGCAGCTCCGCTCCATCCGCGCCTTCGCTCAGCTCCCCTCCACGTCTGCTGGTAAACAGCCCTGGTCTCCAGAGCAACCGCTACTGGGTGGGGAGGCACGTGCTTCCGGCTTGACCGGAACCGCCCTGGACGGGTGGGGTGGGTGGGGTGGAGTTGCGGGGTGGGGGAGGGACCAGGAACGGGAATGCTAGACTGAGAACCTCAGGTGAGTCAGTATGCCCTCTGCTGGGAGTGGCCCTGCCCAGTTGGGGTCAGAGAATCAGAGAACCCCTAGCCCTTAGCCCATCCTTGACCCATCTCTGCCTCTCCTGGGAGTGGGGGCTGGGGGCTGGGGGGCACCGTCTGGGAAACCCATGGTGTGTGTGTGTGTGTGTGTGTGTGTGTGTGTGTGTGTGCCCTCGAGGGTCACTGTGAATCAGAATCGCCTGGATGGCAGTGAGTTTGGTTGGCTGGTTTTGTTTTTCGTCCCTCTCTAGTCCAGCCCTTCACCACTGGGCCCCCCTGGGGCTTGCCCTGCGATGAGCCACCCCAGCACTTGCTTTGGCCATGTGTCCCTAACCTCCTAGATGTCCCAGCAAATTACCTTGTCTCTGTCTCCACTGCCTTTGCTTTTCATCTTGGGACTTGCAGGCTTTGGGCGTGTGCCCTTCCCCACCCATCACCCAGCACTTCTCTACCTGTGACCTTAGTACTCTCTTCCCTGAATCCTCCAGGACCTTGCCCGGCTGTCTTTAGCTCTCTCCCATCTACTGAAGGCATCGCCCAAACCAGCCACCATCTGCCTTCTCTCCCTGCACTCCTGTACTAGAGCACTCCGCCAGACACACAGGCTGGTGCAGTGGACGCGTGGGTCTCCAGCACTGCACAGCCATCCTTCCATCTTCCCCAGCGCAGGTCTCTCGCCTTTCAGTTTATTTCTAAACCTGGTTCTCTCTCCCGAAGCTCTCCACCCCTTCCCTTCCTCTTTCCTCTCAGAAGCTCACCGTACCTCCCTTTTCGGAGAGAAAATAGAAGCCATCATATGGAAACCTACAAACGTGCCTGCCTTCACGTCCCTGCTTTCCGCCCTCCTGTTCTAATGAAAGTGGTGCCCGTCTTCTGGTTCCATCCAAAACTAACGGCGCCCCTCCATGGACTCCCGCTTGGCCACAGACACACACACCCTCACAGTACTCCAGACTTTCTCCTACTGTTCCTTGTGCAAGAAGATTCTTCTCCCCCACGCTCATTTACCTAATTCCTAGTCACCCTTCACACCCCAACTTAAATGGATGAGGCCTTTCTACCAAGGTGGCATGAAGATGGGTTCCCAAGGAGTCCCAATGGCACTGCTGTCTGCCAAGCACTGGTGTAGATGCTTGATGGGTCCCTTAGAGGCGGTGTTACTGAGGACAGTGTGAGCAGACATTCGAGTTCCATATGATCAGCAAATAGAATCAGGGTTTCTTATCTGGCATTGCTGTCTGGCCTGGGCAGAGAGTCTCAGGTAAGGAAGAGGCTGCCCTCAGGAAGCCCATACTTCAGCTGAGAGGACACATGACACGCTGTCAAAGAGTTAACCAATCATGTGCTTTGCATTACCATTGGAGCTGAGACCGGAAGAGCAGGCAAACGGGCCTGATGGGATCATGTCCCAAGGGATCAGAAGAGACAGGAAGTCTTTTGGGGGAATGGGAAGGAGGAAGTCAGCCTAGCAGTGGGGCTTCTGTCTGTCACCAAGAGGACACTCCTGATCCATGGCAACAGTTGGGAGGCCTGGGTTGGGCAGGCTTCCTGGTAAGGTTGCCCTCCCTCTGTTCCCCCCCTCCGCCCCCTCATCTTCCTCTCCCCTCCCCCCACCACTCTGGACATCCACAGAGACAGCCGAGGCCCCGGGAAGGTGCCCGAGATGGTGGTTTAGGAGCTGGAGGGTTTGGCATTCCTTTCTGGCAGCTTATTTCTCTGAAATGACTCTGTCAGAAACAACCAGGCAAAGCTCTCCAGCCCTTCCTCGCCCACCCAGAAAACCAGGGAAGCAGATTCTTCATCAGCTGTTTGCACAGCACCTCAGAAGTACGCAGCCCTTTGAAAAACCAGATCGGCTTCCTGTCGCGTGCTCCTGCCCTGATGATTGGGCCTGTGGCAGCGGATGCCTTCTGCCCCCCTGTGGTGCCATGCACAGCTCCAGGGTAAGGCCATAAGAAAGCGAAGGAAAAGAAGCTGCCAGTCAACTGCTGTGCCAGCCTGCTCTTTAAAGAGAGAAGGGGCTCTGTCTCCTGTCCTTTCCGGAGCCCGCGAGTGCCTGCTGTCTGTCATGCCTATGAAGTGGAGTCTCAGGAAACAGGAGCAGACGTCACCAGCTCAAAGAGGGCTCACTTTCTCTCCAGCCACCTCTTGCTTTCCTTCCCAGCTCTCTCTCGGGGCCCCGAAATGAACCCTCAGTTTCTTCACCGTCATGGCCTTGCCCATCCTTTTCCTGAAGCTAATCCAAATCGCCGATCCTTCAAGACTCACCTTAAAAGACACCTGTTCCATCAAGGCCTTTGCTCATACCCCACCCCACGACCTCATGTGTCCCTTCCTGTCCCTCTGGAGCCCGTGGGTCACCCTGTGTACCCTGTTTCCAGTAGCTTCTCCATGAAACCTCTACAACTGGCCTCCATTGCCTTTGAAAACAACCGGATCTCGTGCTTCCCAGCGAACGAGTGGCAGAACGTTTTCGAACGAAAGCCCAGCGGATTCCAAAGCCCTTCCTGCACCCAAGTATCCCCTCTACCCTCCGAGTAGATTGGTCGCAGGGGCTCTCTGTGGAGTCAAGGCTCAAGTCTGAATCCTGACTTCACCACTTGCTAGCTAAGGGTCTTAGGCAATGGATCTTGGGCAGCTAACTGTCTTAAGTCCCATGGACATCAGGCGCCACATCCGTGGGATGGAGATGTTGACAGGATGAAATGAGATAATCCATGCAAAGATCCCAGAACATCGCCAGGCACATGGGCAGGGCTTGGTGAGCATCTTTGAGCGTTGTTCTCACCCTGCAGTGCCCCTCTCCTTCCGGAGGGTAGCAGTTCCTTATAGGCAGGGACTTGAAAACTGTGTGTGGCAAAGGAGAGTGAAATGAACAGTGATGGTGATGACGACTCCCCAGCTGGCTTTTAGATGGAGAGAGCAGCAAACTGCTGCTTAGCATCCCTCCGGGGTGTCGGCCTCGTAGTCTAAGGGACCTCCCCCAGGGCTGAGCTGAAGGTAGGAACTCTGGATTTCTCAGCATCTTGTCTCCAACGAGTCTTTGGCTGCTGGGGTCACTGCGGTTAGCTGTGGCAGGTTGTCCCTGCCTCCTGGTGAACCCACACTCAACAGGGCAAAATGGCACCCATTACTGCAATATCGCTCTGATGGGTTGAGGGTTGGACCATTGTGATCCCTCAAGTATCCGCTGACTGAGTTTTTGGAACTATACCCCAGACCTTCCTTTCTGTCTGCCTGGAAATTCTGCTGAAACCTGTTAAGCATCTTCACAAAACAAAAGCCCTGGGTGGTGCTTGCACACAAGGTAAGTTGGCCGCGGATAGAACCCGGGTCCTCTGCACGGAAGGTGACGGTTCTACTACTGAACCACCAGGGACCCATCTCATTTGGAACTAGCGGTGTCTAAATTTCAGACCTGGGCCCAGTGTCCTGCCTCATCTGCCTTTGATCTCATCATCAGGCACGCCAGTGGCAGTCCTGAATAACCTTTCAAAGAGATGGTGCCTGGTAGATGCTTACCAGAGAGAGGGCCCAAGAGCCTGGCACCGGTCTTCTTGTGAGTCAGCTTCCCGAGGGGACCTGCAAGAAGGAAGCTTTTATTTTATCTTTTTAATTGTTTTCTTTGACTTTTATTTTTGTCATTCTGCTCTGCTCAGGATGGGGACGACCAATATTTGCACCTTAGAAGGCTGCTCACACACCGCTTCTTACAGTTTGAGAATCACCAGTTCTGTCTTGTGATCCAGAGTCCCGCTTATGAAATCCTACCATAGCTTACCTTTTTCCTTTAGAGTTTTTATTTTGATTTATTTTTAAAATACTTTTATTGGGGGCTCTTACCTCTCTCATCACAATCCATACATTCATCCAGGTGTCAAGCACATTGGCCCATATGCTGCCATCCTCATGTTCAAAGCATTGAGAAGGAAGCTTTTAGAAGAAAAAGTATTTCAGCTTTTTATCATTTGCCCCCATATCACCGGAAAGCTCCCAGAAGCTTACTCCCCACTCCTAAGGAACACACCGAACCTAGCAACTCACCATGGTTACAGCTGGCAAAATGCTCTCACCTTGGTGAGCTTCAATTTTGCAGGCAAGCCTGGGTGGGGGACCAAGGCCATGGCCTCCCAGAGGAGGACACTGAAGTCTGAGGCAATTAAATCTCTCTGCCAGAAAGTGCTGGAGCGCCACCCCAACTTAGTTCTCTGACACGAATTCAGAGTTCTCTTGTCCAAGGGAACCCTTGCTTGGAGACTCAAAATCAATCACTGTGCCGCAGGTGTGGGGAGAGCGACTTGCTCCAACATCCAGGGGCGTCAGGTTTCTGTGTTTGGGTAGTTATCGTTTTAATCATTCCTCCCTGGCCTTCCTACTAGTTAATAGCAGCCACGGTGACATCATTGCTATTCCATTTCTGGCTCTGAGCAAGAGAGGCGTGTCAGAATTGTGGTTAAAATAAGAGCATCGGGGCATCTACTTAGCTGCCTGGTCTGTTCTCGGGTTTGTTTGTTTAGCTGTGCCTTGCTTAGGTACAGCCCTTGGGTCATAGAGACAGGTCAGCGAGGGATTAGCAGCCACTGGAGACAACACTAGAACCAGGTCCTGCATCTCCACTTGCAGGGCAAATCACCTCCCATCTCTGGGCCTCAGTTCCCTTGTCGGTAAACTAGGGTTAACTCTAAATGCTTTGCTGTGAATCAAGGAGGTGCTCTGCACACCACACTCGGCGGGTTGTCCTGGAGCTACTTTCTGGACCTTGAAGTACAACTAGACTCTGACCATGCCTTCATTTAGTCCTCAAATATGTATTTACTGCTCAGCTCTCTGTGCCTACTTACC